AGTCACAGGGTAAACGGCATGAGCTGTGTGTATTGCAGAAAGTAGAACCTTGTCTATCACACCTACAGTGAAACTTTGTCAACTCTAAAGACCTTGGGACCATAAAAAATATATCAAGTTAGCTGTGTGCACCCCCTTGGAGATGCAAGACTAAATTGGATCACGCAGTCAAAATGATTTCATTGGCTAATTGCATTAATTATATCTCTATGGCACAGGGTGTTGCTTATAATATCAACCACTGGTTCATCTGACTGAGATTATTTACTGCTGCGTAAATAAAAAGTCCAAGCTGAGTATTCAGATTATGAGTCTAAAATTTGTTTTTAAATATCATTCTTATCCCTTTATTAGGGGTTTTGTGCATACCCAGGTTTGGATAACAGTGCATTTTAAATGGACTTTATTTATACAGACTATATATTATTACATACAGTTGGACCAGATATTATTCGAAGTTTTTCATAGAACTTATTCTGACTTTAATTCAAGGTAGACAACTCCACATGTCATAACAAAACCACTGGCATCATTGGAAAAAAAGAAGATTATTTCTGAATTATACAATCAAGGAATCAGATCAGCAAATATACCAATATACCAAAATAGTGCCGTGTCATATTCCAATTCCACTTTTCATACCAAAATAAAAATAAAGCACTAACTTTATCCATGAACCTTTTCAACAAAAAAGCATGTCCAAAACATTGTTGTTTTCAAAATGAAAGAGTGAGTGAGTTTGGTTTTACGCCGCTTTTAGCAATATTCCAGCAATATCACGGCGGGGGACACCAGAAATGGGCTTCACACATTGTACCCATGTCGGGAATCGAACCTGGGTCTTCGGCGTGACGAGCGAACGCTTTTACCACTAGGCTACCCGACCGCCCCCAAAATGAAAGAGGCTGCAATTTGAGGATGGAATAAGGTGCAGAAACAAAGATTCTGGAAAGATGAAGATGGAAAACAACCAACACCAAGTTAAAATGCATCACATTATGAAACAACACCAACAACTGTCACATCAAAATATAAATATTGACACATACTGAAAGATACTTACACAAACTTCAGTGTCACACACTGAAACGGCAGGAATCGGTGGTACAGTATTTGATGTATATATGTCTCATGTGTTCTAGACAGAGCCACCAGTAGTCTTTATCATAAACGTATATCATAATTAATGTATTGAGAAAACAAAACAGTAAATACATTTCGTATCCCGAAACTCACCAGAATCATGACTACTGGTTAGCAAGCCAAAGACTAGTCACAATCGGATGGCTACTGGCTAGCAAGTCAAAGACTAGTCACAATCTGAGGGACTAGTAGTTTTCTCCAAAAGGTAAAACGTTTACAAAAACATCTAGTCGGAAATGAATTATGAACTAGGATATATCTCATGGAGTCTATGCTGGAAACCCAAATGTACAACATGAATACATTTCTTCCTTCCTATCACCCTCACCCAAACAAAGAAAAGTAAAAAAATACTACACCCCACAAAGAAATGTAAAAAAATACTCATGTGCCTGATGGAATTTTTCTTCCATGCTTCTTTAGAAACATTGTCAGCACTTTACAGGTTTGTATGAACCATGCTCCTCCATCACCCATCAATACATGCAGGTGATTTGTGATGTAGTAGTGACCTGTGTCTATTTGTATTCAACTAAAGAAATAAGGCCATTAATAACTCACAGAAATAAAATAAGTACAACTTTGAGAATGAATTTCGTGCAAACCTTACCAATGCCTGATACTGAAGTGGTGTGGGAACAGATGAAGAAGTATAAGAGGTATTTTGTCGTTTTGTTTGTTTGTTGTTTAATGCCACACTCAGCAATATTCCAGCTATATGACGGCGGTCTGTAAATAAATGAGTCTGGACCAGACAATCCATTGATTGACATTATGAGCATCGATCCACACAATTGGGATCGATGACATGCTTCAACCAAGTCAGCGAGCCTGACCACCCTATCCCGTTAGTCACCTCTTACGACAAGCATAGTCGCCTTTTAAAGCAAGCATGGGTTGCTGAAGACCTATTCTACACTGGATCTTCACGGGTATATAAGAAGTATCTTCATGGGTATATAAGAAGTATTAATATTTGTGTGATGTAACCTAGGTGCTCATTGGCCAGAGCACTTGCTGGTTTGCCCCTCACTGGAACCAGGCTGTGCTTTGATTCGTTGGTTAAAAATAGCGACTGCACTGCAAATGGGCCATATGTATTTACAGGTGATGGAGAATGCAGAGTACATCAAATCCATAAAGAATTGCTGATGCTTTAGGAACAAATCAGGACCCTCCTACCAAAAAATGTTAATCCTTTTCCATCGGAGTGATAGGCAAGTTCTTCAAACCATATCGATAAATTAATATTCAACTTTCTTTGGATACGAGTGAGTGCATACACTAATGACTGTAGTGTAGTGTATATCATGTATATGACACATGTGTATAGTGATGATTATTGCACATACAATTTTATATTGCAGGTCTTGAAGAACAATAATCTGGATGATCATCAGCATCAACAATAAAGCCGATCTTGCTCAAGGACAAATAATGGCAACCTTTTGTCATGTAATTATAGTAGTAGAAATGAGGGAAATAATAACAAAAATGATAATAATGATAAGAACTATTTCACTAGTGACACAAAGAAATGAGACAGCATCTGAGACAACAGAATTACATGTACTGAGAATTACAAACCTTGAACTAGGTCATAACAGTTGTACAAATGAACCTGAAATATTTCCCCGAGTAAAAAATTTGATTTTAATACTCCGATCACAATACATTATTTGATTGATGGACATTGGTTTGACTTAATATTTTGACTAGCTGCTACATGTGTGATACAAATGGAAACATAAAGAAAAGCCAAGGGAAGCAACTCTAGCTCTACTGCACGCCTTGTATAATAGATCTCACTTTGACAAAGCCGCTTAACCAGACATTTGGACATGGAAGTTTAACCACATTTAGACATAGCAGTTTAACTAGACATTTAGACATGGCAGTTTAACTAGACATGGTGACTTAGTCAACACCGGTAAAAGCAATGATGAGTGAGTGAGTGAGTGAGTGAGTTGGGTTTCTTCACTGCTTTTAGAATATTCCGGCAATATCATGGCAGGAAACACCAGAATTGGGTTCCATGCACTCTACACATGTGGGGAATCAAACCTAGATCTTTGGCATGACAAGGAATGCTTTAACTACTTGACTACCCAACCACCCTTCAAGGAATCATATAACACCACAAGGAGTAACATGAACCACAAATATTGCAACATCTACGGTAGTACTTGTAACGACTGAGGAAAAGGGTTTACTGCTTTGTGGAATCATGAGTATTAACAATGTAATGAACACAAGACTGACATGGGTGTGGGACTTTGTTGTACACATAGTAAACATGTCAAACACTGAGGAATGGAAGGATCTCATCAGAGATGATCAGTCTTTGGAATCTGGTGTTTGTTTTGGTACCATCTTAACTTCTGGATTTTCATTCTTCAGTAACGTATGGTCCCTATCACTAACTATCCACTGTGTTATATCTCCATTTAGATGAAATACCTGCATCCAGTTGTTGCCATAGTTTTATTCCGAATCAAGTGACACAATGCTGAAAAATAGCAATTAAATAAAATTACACTGATAACATGGATAAGGGACCGGTAATTTATTTCAGTGGGTTTGGAGTGTCAGAGGAAATTAGAGGAGAAAAAAAACGAGTCCCTAGGGAAGGGTCATAATAAATAAAACATATATTTGCGGAAGGTCATGCAAAAAACGTACAAAAGGACATGGGGAGGGTCATCTAAAAAAATGTCAAGCATTAGGGGAGTGTCATTATATTTGTACATCAGTGCATCAATAACCTCTCACCCACCCACCCCCGTAATAAATGACCGGTCCCTAGGTATGAAAAATTCATACTTACTGCGATAACATACTTTAGTTGTGAATGGTCCCAGGGATCATAACAATACCATGGAGATATAATACCCTGGATAACTGAAGATGCTAACACAAATCGAAACATCTTTTAAGTCATTCAGTAGAAATATACTACGTTAACTGGTTAGTAAAGGGCATGACTTAAATCATTAATAAAATTAATAAGGTTAGGGATATTAATCTCCCAGGGTGATTGAGTGACCTGTTTTATGCCGGATGTGGCATTGCTTCAACAAAGTCCAATATGGTTTAATAGTATCCATGGGAGCACAGATATAGGCAACATTGTTTTCCGTAAATCTCACGGAACATTACTGTTTTCTTTATTTGAGAAAAGGCCCAGCATGACATGAACGCATTGTCGCAAATAATGGAAGATTGTTCCTGACATCCTTATGTGACATCCTTCCACATTTTTCTACATTTTCTAAGAAAAAAGACTAAGGGTAAGGCTTGGAACTTGCAAAATATATTCACTTTGGACAGGTAATAAATCATTGATCCTCAGGTGGATCCTCATAGCACCATTACAGCAACATTGGTATGGCGTGGCTTTCCTCAATCCACATTCTAAACAAGTCGGGTAAGGATTTTCCTCAATCCATGTTCTAACCATGTTCTAATCAAGTTGGGTAAGGATTTTCCTCAATCCACGTTCTAACCACGTTCTAATTAAGTTGGGTAAGGATTTTCCTCAATCCACGTTCTAATCAAGTTGGGTAAGGATTTTCCTCAATCCACGTTCTAACCACGTTCTAATTAAGTTGGGTAAGGATTTTCCTCAATCCACGTTCTAATCAAGTTGGGTAAGGATTTTCCTCAATCCACGTTCTAATCAAGGGTAAGGATTTTCCTCAATCCACGTTGTAACCACGTTCTAACCAAGTTGGGTAAGGATTTTCCTCAATCCACTTGTACTTGAAAGGATACACTTTTTCCCCATGTAATTCCTATCGCAAAAGAACGACATTGATTTTAAAAATGAAAATTGCACACCTGTTACTTAAACCAACCATATTCCATCATGCAATAATAAAAGATATTCGAAAACCTTTTTTCCTATTCAGGCCACACTACATGTCATCCGAACATACATATGTAACAGTGTGTATAGATACTTTGGAACTGGGAACTCATTCAGCCTCAAGCCGCCTTGTGTGCCATATATACAGGGAAAAACTGATAAGCAGGGTTCAACAAACAACGTGGTGAGCTAGCGAAAAGGACCACACCCATAAGAAAGCTGCTAGACAACTAAAGAAAACCATCTAACCAATTTCATAATCCGTGAATAAAAACATTCTGTCATTTACTGACATTTCATTCTTATTTTATGCTTTTCAGTCAGACCTGTATTATACCACTCAAAATAAGTTAAGCACCACCTGACTCCTTCATATTACGATAGTGAGTGAGTATGGTTTTACGCTGCTTTTAGCAATATTCCAGCAATATCACGGCGGGGGACACCAGAAATGGGCTTCACACATTGTACCCATGTCGGGAATTGAACCCGGGTCTTCGGCGTGACGAGCGAACGCTTTAACCACTGGGCTACCCGACCGCCCCTGTTATGCAATGAAGTGAAGGACCACCCAATCAGTGTGCAATGACAGATGAACTAGAGTAATAGGAAAGAATTTGGTGGTCCTTAATTTCTTTTGAGTAGCATAATACAGTCAAGTCTTGTTAATCCAACTATCGGCTTAATCCAACACTAATGATGGGAACTGATTAAATCAGTGCTATTTAGACATGTTAATCCGACAGTCTCGCATTTTGACTTCGACACACGAATTCCGACTTGAAATGAATGACCGAATTCACTCATTAATCAGTCTCATTAATCCATCACAGTGATCAATGACAGATATACTATAGTAATATCAAAGAATTGGGTGGTCCTCAATTATAATATACTATAAGACATGTAATTTGTTTTTGTCCTGACTATTGTTTACTGGTGATTGTTTGTGGACCAATGTACTTGTCGAACCCTGCAGGGTCAAATAACTTGCATGGGTCAAGAAATAAATAACAGGAAAATATCAACATAAACTCCATACTGCGAAGGATGAGGTAAAAGTTACAAAACATAAGAACTGTTCAATAAATACTTAAGTAGGGCATCACTTTACAATCACCGCCATCTAGGATGAGGTGCAAATATTTAATACATCTCATGGCACAACTCATTCGATACAATTCCAAATCCTAAACACACAAGAATTCAAAACAAGCAACTTCATATTTACAAAATAACATCATTTGGTTTGAAGATTAATGATAGAGTTTCTACTTGGAAGTATGGGTCATTCTGTCCTGGCCTCTGCTTTCACTGTCACGTCTTGCTTGTGGTCTTCATCTGCTTGTTTTGCTTTAGATTGAATTACCTCCCTTGGCTCTCCTTCAACGTTGTCTTCATCAGCAAATTTCAAGTTTTTGTCCAAGACTTCTGCACCTTGTTTGGAAGAGGCAGTGCTTGCCGATGAAGTGCCAACTGTTGGCTTCTGTGTTTCTATATTTTCAGTTATTAGATGACTACCTTCTTTATTTTTATCACCACTGCTTCCCGATTCCTCGCTATCATTTTCATCATCGTATTCACTATCCTCCTCATCATCATCCTCCTCATTAGCCTCAGCAACTTTCAGCTGACCTACAAAATGAAATAATTTTAAATATAATATCAAAGAGTCAAACAGTAAATAACAAATATGGTATCTGTCTTCATCCATCTTCCCGAGGCAAGAGAGTTAACTGACTTTAAAAGTCCAGTTTCCACACTTGCCGAACTAGGCTGGAATTCCTGGGCTCGATCGTAGCGCCACTAGTGGCTGTTACGAGTTATGTCCTTTCTATGCCTCCTCTATTGACCAATCAGATTCAACCTCTCGTATCACTTGCATTTGCTTCAAACAAAACGGTGGCGCCCAGTCAAGACTATTCGATTGATAATCAAGATCTATATTGTGATAAAACGGGTCTTACATCGCGAAATGCATCAAATCACTACCTTGATTAAAAGCATGAAAAGATTTAGAAAATATCTGTTGACAACGAGTTAGCGGTGCGCATGCTTTGCAAATCCTGCAGTCGATCGAAATCTGCATGACACTTTACGAACCGGATTTTGATTTCAGTGCGCGATTTTGATTGGACTACGCATAGACTCGTTAGTCCAGCCAAAATGTAACTCCATAATACCAGCCTAGTTCGGCAAGGGTGGAAACTGGACTTTTATAGTCAGTTAACTCACTTGCCTCGGGAAGATGGTCTTCATCATACCATATATTCCTGGATATCCATTGTAGCAATCGTCCAAACTTACTCATGCGTGATCCATAACTGTCAGTACACTTAAGAAGTATTTGTTATCATGAATAATTAAACAACACAAGAGTGAGCGAATGTGTGTTTATCATGCTTATGCATAAGTCAACAATATACTAGCTATATCAAAGCAGCTCGTAAATAGCCCAGTTTTGGCTTGGCAAACCAGTAGGTTATTTAAAAAAACATGATAATAACAGACAAGGTGAGTGAGTGAGTGAGTGAGTGAGTGAGTGAGTGAGTGAGTGAGTGAGTGAGTGAGTGAGTGAGTGAGTGAGTGAGTGAGTGAGTGAGTGAGTGAGTGAGTGAGTGAGTGAGTGAGTGAGTGAGTGAGTGAGTGAGTGAGTGAGTGAGTGAGTGAGTGAGTGAGTGAGTGAGTGAGTGAGTGAGTGAGTGAGTGAGTGAGTGAGTGAGTGAGTGAGTGAGTGAGTGAGTGAGTGAGTGAGTGAGTGAGTGAGTGAGTGAGTGAGTGAGTGAGTGAGTGAGTGAGTGAGTGAGTGAGTGAGTGAGTGAGTGAGTGAGTGAGTGAGTGAGTGAGTGAGTGAGTGAGTGAGTGAGTGAGTGAGTGAGTGAGTGAGTGAGTGAGTGAGTGAGTGAGTGAGTGAGTGAGTGAGTGAGTGAGTGAGTGAGTGAGTGAGAGGTTTTACGAAGCTTTTAGCAATATTCTAGCAATATCACGAAGGGGGACACCAGAAAGGGGCTTCACACATTGTACCCATGAGGGGAACCAAACCCGGGCCTTCAGAGTGACGAGCGAACACTTTGACCACTAGGTTACCCCACCACCACCACCACGAATGTGGATCGTCAGTCTGTCTGTAGGGAAACATTGGGACATCTGGTTCTGCTTTCATGACATTTCTGCAATTCATGTTTTTCAAATAGCAAACACTGACTGGTTATGTGGTATTGTTAGATCTAGTTATATGCGCTTTTCACAAGATTTTACCATGAATACGACAAACAACAAAAGTTTGAATTAATGAGAAGCAGTTTATTGTGGAGATTTTGCATTAATCGTATACGATAAAATTTCATCATAAGTTTATGATAGTTCTTAGTTGTTTTACGCAAAACAGAATACCCCCTCAGGACCCTCACAAAGGTAATTGCGGAAAATTTGGCTACACAAGCTGCCATTATGTTCTCTGAGTCTGTTTTTTCATCAAAGAATAAAAAATCATCTTACCTTGGGGTGCAGCGCGCTTTGCTGGCGAGGGAGGTGCAGGAAACTCCAGTTTGGGAGCATGTGGCCGCTGCTTCCTGGCTGGGTTCATTGCATAGCAGTAGCAACAGCGAAAACCTGTTTAAAATGAGACACATTAACATTGGTGCATTACTGTCATTTGAAGCTGCTTGGCAGGGCACATTTTCCCTCCTTCTTATGAACACATTATTGAATGAGTGTGTTGGGTTAACACTGCTTTGAAAAAGATTTCAGCAATAATTACATCACAGTGAGACCCAGATCGTTAGTTTACCACCTCGTTAAACTTATGAGGACACGTATGGTAAGGTTGTTGGTTGTTTGTTGTTTAACGCCGCACTCAACAATATTCCAGCTATATGACGGCGGTCTGTAAATAATCTGGACCAGACAATCCTGTGCATAAGCATCGAGTTGGGACACAATGACATGCATCAATCAAGTCAGTGAGTCTGACCACCAGATCCCGTTAGTGGCCTCTTACGATAAGCATAGTCGCCTCTTACGGCAAGCATGGTTTGGTGGTGACCCAATTCTACCCTGGATCTTCACGGGTCAAGTATGGTAAGGACAGATTTGGGATCCTAATTGGGGAGAATCTGGGATCTGTACCATGAGCGGTTTATCCTGGCTTGGCTAAGGGAGGTAACTCACAGCAGACGGTCTCAGATTAAGACACGGCACATTAACACACTACACATGCAAAATAATTTCTTCCTGAAAGAACTTATCCCCGTCCTTGACGAAAACACTAATTCCCTTCTTGATGAACATGCTAATCCTTTGATTCAAAACTATCCATGTTGAAAACTCTCACACCCATTTCTAAAAGAACACTTAATTCCCCATTGATGAGTGAGTGAGTTGGATTTTAATGCCACTTTGAACAGTATTCCACCCATGCCCCATCCCCATTGATGAACACTAATCATATAAGAATACTTACTGAGGTATTCAAACTCTTCTTTCAGGGCCATTCCATTGTGAGAATGGCAATATTTACAGATGAGAGCATAGCGGTTCTGTGGTCCATCTCCAACAAGATACTCGACAACCTTGTCAAAGTTGCCCCTCTCTCTGGGCAGCACCGGTCTCGGCAGCGGGGGCCCGGGGGGACTTCCTTCAATACAATACACAAACACCCATAACATTGTGCTTCGTTCATTCAAGTTAGTCGAGAGGAAACAAATTTCATTAAGAAAACTCAAATTGTTTGGGAGTTCAACATGTTCAAGACTAAACAATATGGTTGGCACGTGTTTTGTACACTACGTCCACATGTAATAATTTCTAAATGTCGGAATAATCTAACTTCAGATACTTAGTCCAACTTTGAATACAAGATTTACAGTATTCATGGAGATAAAACAAAACATGATCACTGCAAGATGCAACTCAACTTTTGATAGAGATATTCAGATATGTCATTCTGTTTATATATACACTTGACATATTATGAAAATCAGTTTTTCGTATCAATGAAAGAGTGGAAGAGTGCTTTAACTGATGAGACAAAACTGCATGACCCAACAACTGTCGCTAACACTAACAAAAATGGTGCCAAAATACATTGCCCCTTAGCACATGTACAAAAACAAGAGCAACCATACATGACTTATGATTAACCTGAACGGAGTAATCTCCCTTGAAACATAAAGTTGCTTACATGGTCTAAAATCAAAAGTCATTTCTGCTACGATACAAATACCCACCCCCCCCACAAATTGGAGAAGTATAGTCCAAACAGAAATGGGCAAGTCTATGAGGATCTTTCTATCCTTATTCTATCCTTATTCCATCCCATGATCTCCACATGCTTCTGAGGACAGTTAGGCAGTCAATGCTTACCGTATCCAGGCACGAACTGACCATTGGCCGACATCCTCATCCTCTGTCCTGACTGAGGCAGGTGTGGTGTCGTCATCGGTGTCCGGATACCGGGCCGAATTGGGGTAGCCATCCTTGGAGCTACACGCTGTCGGAGAGCTACAACATGAACGGTCATGTCAGAGTTGGAGCAACACGCTGTCGGAGAGCTACAACATGAACGGTCATGTCAGAGTTGGAGCTACACGCTGTCGGAGAGCTACAACATGAACGGTCATGTCAGAGTTGTAATTTGAAGCTGTAAGCTAATAAATTCTTAAGATTTTGGAAATTACTCATTTCTGATTAGTCAAGCAGAGGTTTCCAATCACAATAATCACTACTGATTGAAACAGGTGAATCGACGACCGCAGAAGCTATTATTTACAAAAATGAACTTCTTTCTCAATCATTGTCGCTAGCAATTATAAAACAATGCCATGTTCAATTATAGGTTAGAAAATACAGAGTTTACTACAACATTTAATGTATGCATGGCAATAGAGGTTGGAAAGAAAACATGAAGAAATTGACTGAGAGAGGGTATTTCAAGTGTTGGGAATGACAATGAGCTTGAAATTTGGTGCCTCTCAAAATCTGACTTGTATTCAGTTCCAATTTGTAGCAACATTAAGTGAGTGAGTGAGTGAGTTTCGCTTTACATCACTTTTAGCAATATTCCAGCAATATCACGGCGGAGGACACCAGAAATGGGCTTTACACATTGCACCCATCTGGGGAAATCGAACCTGGGCCTTCGTCGTGACGAGTGAACGCTTTAACCACTAGGCTACCCAACTGCTACTGCAGCAACAGTGAAACACTGACAACTGGTTCAGAACTATAACCCAAATGCTACCAGTCAATGAGGACTACCATCTTTGGATTGTTACTTGTCCTCAGCTCACTTTAGTAGTCTTGGGCCTTAGGATGCTAAGCAAAATATGACAAATACATAGTGGGTATTCATGCAGAATTTTTCAGTTGATTAATTTTAACAAATCCTTCATATAATTCCTAACTACAAACAAAAGCTGTACATCACAATCAAGGTAATCGGAAATGTGGATCTTCAATAAGATATGTTTGCCAGCATATTATCCTGATGATTTGAACATAGGTAATTCCAAGCTTACCTGACCCCTGGGAGGGTGTGACTAGTCGAGGGGAAGGTTGTGCTGGCTTCTGTTCAACAGAAACATTAAAACTTGACCACATAGTATGAATTACATGTGTCATGATCAGGGTGTAAAAGGTTTTAAGAGCTCAACTGCCTTGTACATAACCAGACCAAAGGTGACACATAATGTACCATTACGTGTTCACAAGTACAGTGACACATTATTGGTAAAAGGGAGGCAACTGCACACTGAACTGTGGCATCTCATAAAACCCATGCTCCCCTTTAAATTAAATAAAAATGTCAATCCATGAAAGTCTAACATCTGTCTAGCGCTAGGACAGTCTACTGATCATCTTCTGATCTGACTTGACACGGCGTGCAACATTCTACGGTTTCTAACCTCAAGCTGCTTGAACCTGGCAGGGTCGAACTTTTCGAGGATTTCCTTCGCCTTCTTGTACGTCTCCTTCTCCATCACATCCTCCAGCTACAACACACACAATCGGGGTACATCGGGGTTCAGCAGCAGGAACAAACTCATCTTACTAGACCTTATGATGTAACAAAATACAAGCCAAAATCCAAGAAAAGTGATGTAAAAATGGGGTTTAATGTTGCGTTCACGATTCTTGCCCTTATCATGCTTACATGAGTGAGTGAGTTGGGTTTAATGCTGCTCTTAACATAATTCCAGTTATATCAAGGCGTGTCAGCTTAATGTGGGAGGAAAGCCCGAAGTGATGCAGGTCTCAGACGTTTACCACTTCGGTGAAACCCACGAGCACGGGTATGGTGCTGACAAACCTAGAAACATAATCGGGGCGAACCGGGATTCGAACCCACAATCATAGGTTTCTGGCGTGCCCAAGGGACGCGATTCTGCTGAGCGAATCGTGGTGCCTTAGAAGACTTGGCCACCCGTACCCCCTCATGCTTATATGGGGCAATGTGCATGTCTGTGTGTGTGACTGCTTGTACTAGTCCAGACTGATGACCGATTTATAGTGCTAAACCACTGAGATACCATGCAACAGTTTAACATGGATGTCCATCAACAGAACAATGACTCCAAGCCAACCTATCCTTGTTCATATCCCCTTAATCCAGTCCTTGTTTATAATCCCCTTAATGCCGAGCGTCAGGCAGGGTAACAACAAGTGGCATCTTTTAACGTCTTTTGGTATCAAAATCTGGTAATTTCTACTAGTCCAATGGATATTACCCTGATGGTAACTACTATAAAAATGTGCTGGTATGGAGAGAATTAGTGATGACTAGCAGCACACATTCAGGAATAATAACAGGTCTGGGCATTGATAGGCCAATATGGCCCATGACCCAGTGTCCATAGTCGTGATATTAGACTGACTAAAGTTTACCAAAATCCTTGTGTGATTATCATGATCATGGGCTTTTTAAAAAAAAATCTGTATGGTGACATGAAGTACTATCTAGTTGGGCTATATTGCAACACCTTCTTGCCAAACAATACATGGCGTCAGACATCCATATATTCTCTTCCTTATGTTAATCACTTCTAAATGCCTTTCAAAGACCTAATACAAATCCTGATCGCAAGTGTTTATCATGTTTATATTAACAAGCATGAAATACTCATAGTCCTATCCCCTACCAATGGTATGTTCTACTGTGTGCCAGGCTCAAGCCCCTGACCACACAAGCTGCCTGGAACTTGTTATAACACTGAATAATTATCATGACACTTAATAATAAACAGTGGGATGGCGTGACTCTGAGAACATCACTGGGAGCAGTGGTTATCATAAGATACAATGGCGTTTTTCATTTGTTTCGATGGAATTAGAAATACCGGTGTGTAAAAAATTAAAAAACATGCAAGTAAGCAGTTGATGACTTGATTGTTTAGTGAGGAAAAACAAATGGTTGTAGTCATGAAAAACAAAAAATTAAAATTTCCAAAATATCTAAACAGCAAAAGGCACCATTTCTTGGCTAGACTGAAATGCGTGCACAGTTCGATCAAGAAATACTGAACGTCCAGAAACAAATGATCCAGAACCAAAATGAGACAGACGGACCGCCAGCCACAATTCCCGCATCCCACTTCGTGGCAGGGGAAAACATAAATAACAAACAAACACACTTAATATTATAATAACTGGCAGTCATAACAACCTGATGAGTTTTTTTAAGACAATATGAGCAATAAATAGGTTAAAAAAAGGGCCTTACGATTTGCTTTTTCTTTTCCCTAAGCTCTCCAAGAGACACATCTGAAACGTAGATGAAACTCAAAACTTAAACATTGAAGTAAAACACACAGTAGTTTCATAACATAAACATTAGAACTTTCAAAATATCCTGGGTAACCTCACATTTATCAGGATGATTCAAAGGATATGGTCAAGAACAACCCCCTCACAGCCAAAGCCCATTTGTAGAGCTCTCTATGCACCTCACAGCCAAAGCCCATTGATGGAGCTCTCTAGACACCCTATAGCCAAAGCCAATTGATGGAGCTCTCTGAGTACCCCACAGCCAAAGCCCATTGATGGAGCTCTGTATGCACCTCACAGCCAAAGCCCATTGATGGAGCTCTCTACGCACCCCACAGACAAAGCCCATTGGTGGAGCTCTGTATGCACCCAACAGCCAAAGCCCATTGGTGGAGCTCTGTATGCACCCAACAGCCAAAGCCCATTGGTGGAGCTCTGTATGCACCCAACAGCCAAAGCCCATTGGTGGAGCTCTCTATGCACCCAACAGCCAAAGCCCATTGATGGAGCTCTCTATGCACCCAACAGCCAAAGCCCATTGGTGGAGCTCTCTATGCACCCAACAGCCAAAGCCCATTGGTGGAGCTCTCTATGCACCCAACAGCCAAAGCCCATTGATGGAGCTCTCTATGCACCCAACAGCCAAAGCCCATTGATGGAGCTCTCTATGCACCCAACAGCCAAAGCCCATTGGTGGAGCTCTCTATGCACCCAACAGCCAAAGCCCATTGATGGAGCTCTCTATGCACCCAACAGCCAAAGCCCATTGGTGGAGCTCTCTATGTAGCCCACAGCCAAAGCCCATTGGTGGAGCTCTCTATACACCTCACAGCCAAAGCCCATTGATGGAGCTCTCTATGCACCTCACAGCCAAAGCCAATTGATGGAGCTCTCTATGCACCTCACAGCCAAAGCCCATTGGTGGAGCTCTCTATGCACCCAACAGCCAAAGCCCATTGATGGAGCTCTCTATGTAGCCCACAGCCAAAGCCCATTGATGGAGCTCTCTATGTAGCCCACAGCCAAAGCCCATTGGTGGAGCTCTCTATGCACCCAACAGCCAAAGCCCATTGATGGAGCTCTCTATGTAGCCCACAGCCAAAGCCCATTGATGGAGCTCTCTATGTAGCCCACAGCCAAAGCCAATTGATGGAGCTCTCTATGTAGCCCACAGCCAAAGCCCATTGATGGAGCTCTCTATGTAGCCCACAGCCAAAGCCCATTGATGGAGCTCTCTATGTAGCCCACAGCCAAAGCCCATTGGTGGAGCTCTCTATGCACCCAACAGCCAAAGCCCATTGATGGAGCTCTCTATGCACCCCACAGCCAAAGCCCATTGATGGAGCTCTCTAGACACCCCACAGCCAAAGCCCATTGATGGAGCTCTCTATGTAGCCCACAGCCAAAGCCCATTGATGGAGCTCTCTATGTAGCCCACAGCCAAAGCCCATTGGTGGAGCTCTCTATGCACCCAACAGCCAAAGCCCATTGATGGAGCTCTCTATGCACCCCACAGCCAAAGCCCATTGATGGAGCTCTCTAGACACCCCACAGCCAAAGCCCATTGATGGAGCTCTCTATGCACCCAACAGCCAAAGCCCATTGATGGAGCTCTCTATGTAGCCCACAGCCAAAGCCCATTGATGGAGCTCTCTATGCACCCCACAGCCAAAGCCCATTGATGGAGCTCTCTATACACCTCACAGCCAAAGCCCATTGATGGAGCTCTCTATGCACCTCACAGCCAAAGCCAATTGATGGAGCTCTCTATGCACCTCACAGCCAAAGCCCATTGATGGAGCTCTCTATACACCTCACAGCCAAAGCCCATTGATGGAGCTCTCTATGCACCTCACAGCCAAAGCCAATTGATGGAGCTCTCTATGCACCCCACAGACAAAGCCCATTGATGGAGCCCTCTATGCACCCCACAGACAAAGCCCATTGATGGAGCTCTCTATGCACCCAACAGCCAAAGCCAATTGATGGAGCCCTCTATGCACCCCACAGACAAAGCCCATAAAAAAAAGTAAGAAAATTTCCTAGTTTTAATTCTTTCAACATCTTGTTCAATGCAGTGTACGTTCATGGCTGACAAATTCAATGACGTCATTTCTGAAGTAGCTTAGTTAGATCTACTCATTATTCACACAAAGTTCAGTCACAGTTTTCTCCCTTTTTTTTGGAACATATCAGTGGTTCAAGACTAAGTCGTTACAAAGTCATATTTAACCTTGAAGCAAAGCTAAATGTTATTTCCTTGCACTGAAAATAGACAACGGGAAACCCTGATGATAAAAGACAAGCTTACTTTGTTAAAAAAATATACTTCATTGATTATCGCCAATGTTTTGTTCAACAACAAAGATTTATAAGGAAATTATCTCCTGGTCCACTGGGACTGACAGACATGTGAATTACCGGTCCAAGCCTAAGTTAATCAGTAAGCGAGAACATCGATGCATGGAGTTGAACTCGCAGCTGACTGACCGTTATGTTTACAAACAAGACATGATGCTGAATACTCTACTGTCGTGTTATTAGCTCAGCGAGAATGAAAAGGGGAAAATGGGTACTTTTTTTTCAAACCATACTGATTAAAGAAACAAACCAACGTAAATTCATCTGGGACATAGTCAGTCAGTCGTAAACCTTCTCCAGTTCATTTCCCAGAATGACATTCCCAAAGATATGCACAAGGATATACATGTCACCACGTTTGGGGCTAGAAGGAATTTTTTTCAATATTCTTGTAAAGGCTGCTTGCACAGTAGTGGCAATGATGATACCGGGAGGGTATCGAAAGGAATCATGAGCTGGGAAAGTGAGTGAGTGAGTTGGGTTTAACGCCGCTTTTAACACTATTCCAGTTATATCACAACGTGTCAGCTTAATGTGGGAGGAAAGCCCAAAGGGATGCAGGTCTCAGACATTTACCACTTCGGTGATACCCACGAGCACGGGTATGGTGCTGACAAACCTAGAAACATAATTGGGGTGAACCGGGATTCGAACCTACAATCATAGGTTTCAGGCGTGCCCAAGGGACGCAACTCTGCACAGCGAATCGCGGCGCCTTAGACGACTGGGCCACCCGAGTTGGGAAAGGGCTTAGGGAGACAATCATCAATAAAGGTCTCAACTGTTTCCCAGGCATGATGGTCATAAACATTCTGTGAAAGGTAATGTTAATCATGTTAATGTGTTGCACCTAAGGTTAGTTTGGACCCTTAGTCTTTCATAATCTTGTGCAACAATGGAGTGAGTGAGTATGGTTTTACGCCGCTTTTAGCAATATTCCAGCAATATCACAGCAGGGGACACCAGAAATGGGTTCACACATTGTACCCATGTCGGGAATCGAACCCAGGTCTTCGGCGTGACAAGCGAACGCTTTAACCACTAGGCTACCCGACCGCCCCTGCAACATTGGACATAAATACATAATGACAGCCTATTTTGAAAGAAATTGTCTAAAAAATTAACCAGAAAACTAGTGGTCAATAGTGTGAGTAACAATTCTTGATGCAGAATGATGACCCCCGAACAGCTAGGTCTGTGTGTTTACTTATGTGTTTTTTCTATTCACACCATTGTAGTCATCCTGTTTCCTAAAGAAAAATAAAGTCATCCCTTTACCTTCTTATCCAATATCAAGATAATGAGATTCAACTATATAAACAAAAACAATCCTTTAACAGGGCTTACCATTGCTTGCTATCCTCTTTACAAAGTACCAATGGAGGGTTTTCTTGATCCCCCAAATTCTGAAATAATAACGTAAGGAAATGGTAGTAGGAAATGGAAGAGTGAGATAATATACTTTTTAATTGTTTGCAATACAAGATTATACATATGAATCAGATTAAAGAAACTTAAACCACAGTATGACAAGACCATATTGAAATTAATAGCTCTGTGTTTCTGTCTCATAAATATCATATATAGGAAATAAAATTGTATCATGTGAGTACAATATACATATATTTTACTCCTAATATGTTATGTTTAATTATTGTTTAAAATACGGAAAAAGACAAGGGTAGCATTTTCTTTATTATATAATGTTGTTCTTAAAATAATGGATGTCTAAGACATAATTTCACTCAATTAAGTAGCTTTAGAAATCATGTATGAATACATCTTTTTGAATGAATCGCCCAATGTATCATATAGTTCCAAATGACTTGCAGCCATGGTTGTCCCCTGTTTTGCTGACACACTGGGAAATACCCGTCCAAGCATATGGGGAATGTTAGTCAATAGCTCACTAAGAAAGATGGCATCACACTGATGTTTGGAGCTTGAACGTAGTTCCTGCGAGACCTCATTTGCATATTTATTGGATTATGATACCACATTCATTAGATTGGTTTTATCGCAGCGGGTAACACAAGCCTTTATATGATAAACATGTATAGGGCTGGTACTGTCACAACTACTCGCATATTCGGTGAATCGAACCGTATCCATTCATGAATTGAATTTGTTATTCGTGACAACTAAAATCAAATATTTATGAATATGCAATCATGTGCATTTAAATACCCTGTACCTACAAATATCCATAAGAACAACATATTATGTGCATAGATTTCTTCAAAGACAACACTCTTTTAATACATAATTTGACAGTATTGTGGTTGATGGTCATTGTTGCATTTGAGCAGATACTAGTACCTGGATAAGCATGATAAGAGCAGTATATAAATGAATAATATATTAATAGTTAACAAACCATGTCAAATAATTGATGTTGTTATTGTTTCACTGAATATAACAAATAATATATCAGCTGCTAACTTGTTATTGTATTTGTGAATTAATATTAATATTTGTATTTATTACCCTATAGTCATGATATGAATCGTAATAGCCTCATAGTGTATTCGTTGCAGCGCTACTATATGTTGCGTGATACCCATACACAAATCATAATACACAATTTCTGAAGAAAGTTAAACATTCTAATTTTGATACACGGGAAAATCCATTTCAGATGTTCAAATATATCTTAAGACAACATAACTGAACCACATAACTGAACTAATCTCACTTGATAGTAGACTTACTATGTCAAAGTGAAATTGTCAATATTCATCTGTGCCAAATTGTAGACAATCGAAACTCAAGACAAATAAAATAATTCACAAAACTATGAGCATCGTGCTGACACTTAAGGAAGTGCTGTGTGTATTTGCTGGGATTACACTTGTGGAGCACAGTCAGCAAGATTCCAGCAATATCAAGACAAACTATAAATAAATCTAGTCACCAGACTATCTAGTGACTGATGTTAGTGTTTTACCTTGAGCTACAAAACCATGCTGGTGTTGATTTAACTGCTGGCCTGTTGTCCCATGGCCAGTTAAAATTACAAATGGCTTACTATGACGTAAAATAGATGGCCCATCTGGCTATTCAAAATTTCACCCCTTTTCCATGTATATTTAATTCTTTTAAAAGTTTAGTTGGGGGGGGGGGTTATATCGTGTGAATGGTTAACTCAAAGAAAGATATCTGTCCATCATCTTGGTAGAATGACAACCCGGACACCATTTTGTAATGTCTACAACAACATCTTTATTTGCTCCTAAAAGAAATGAGGCAAATGGAAACCAAGATTTAATCTCAGTGTGCATGGGTGAGGAGTTCAGAGCCCCACATGATGCATGTCATCGTATCCCAGATCAATGCTTATGATGTCAATCACTGGATTGTCTTACCAGACTCTATTATTTACTGACTGCCGCCATATAGCTGGAGTATTGCTGAATGCTGCATTTCAACAAACCTTAACCAACTAAGCTAAGACACCAGGTGCTACTCACATGAAGGGGAAGGCCAACAAGGGCAGCGAGTAGATGAAGCGCTCCTTCCATGTGTCGGGGAAGTACCAGAAGTAGAACACAACGGCACAGATGATGTACAGGAGGATGGAGTACAGGATGAGACTGGCGATGAACTTTTTCTGCAGCTCCTGGTTGTGGCGCCGAAACCGCTGTAGCTTGGTGATGTCCTATTTGTGGAGGAATTAAATGGTAAAAGCTTCAAGTTGCATCCAGATTAATTTGTCAACAATAACAAAAGTTGATCCTAGCTCTAATCTCTCAAATTGTTTTATGGGCAAAATCATCAATATATCAATGACCAATTGTTATGATTTGATTATGATAGTTAAATTAGATAGGTGTCTAATGACAATAATTTTTCTACTTAAATTTGCTAAATGTACTGTGACAACACCAAATTGAAAACCTGAAAGAAGTGAGCAATGAAGAAGCTGAAAAACACAGACAGTGATTTATGGGTTTGTGGAATAAAACACATGTTCCTCCATCACCTGTAAACACATACTGCCTCTACACAGTGTAGTTGCTATGTGTAACCAACAAATCAAGCAAAGGTCTGTTTACAGCAAGAAAAAACTAGAGAACAGAAAACAGAAGTTGAGAACACATTCAGCTTTGCCAAAAAACATACATGTGTGTCTCCTATTATCATTATTTTATATCAATTGAAAAGACTGGTTTTTTTCAATATAAATAATTTTAAGATACATATGTATCTGTCCATCACTGAACGGGTATGATGAACATCAAATATGTGATAAAATATCACTAGAGATGATGATTTACTGTTTCAATTGCTTTTCCTGCAGACAAGATGACTATGCATATGTCTGGTAAACTAAGCAAGGTCATGTTAGACCAGTCTGGTATCCAGAAACACATGTACCAGTTATTCTCTGTGTGTGTGTGTGTGTGTGTGTGTGTGTGTGTGTGTGTGTGAGAGTGAGAGTGAGAGTGAGAGAGAGAGAGAGAGAGAGAGAGAGAGAGAGAGAGAGAGAGAGAGAGTGAGTGAGTGAGTGAGTGAGTGAGTGAGTGAGTGTGTGTGTGTGTGTGTGTGTGTGTGTGTGTGTGTCTTACACTACACATCTACATCACATAGTTGCCCAATATGTATTTTTAAGGGCTAAGGAGTAATAAGTGGGTACTAGATGGGTGCAGTCTCTATTTTATTAAACTATCATACAAATACTGTATCAAATATCTATAAACAAACCAAATCCAACCAGAAAATAACATAAAAATTGAAACACTGTTCCAAAATAAATGCTGGAGGAACCCTTCCCAAAGGTTTTCATCCATTCAGAACCCACCAGGGAGGAAGAAAATCAGATCTTTTATTATTACTTTCTAAATTCATTAGCGCTGGCTAAAAAGATTGATAATCAAAATTATCATCAATGGAAAGAAATAATGACGATTATCTATATAAAAATTGTGTCATTGATAATACCTTACATAAACTTTTGTGACGAAATAAAGTTTAGATTTACCAAAACAGACTTGTTATTGTCAATTGCTTGTTATTGTTAATTGCTGATTATGTAAAGTAACTGTTTTTGTTATATCTCAAATGTCCACAAAGTAATCTCTGAATGAATTTGCCACCACTCACCAGTGGAGTGAAATATATTGATTTCTTTAGGAATTTTTATTTGCGGATTTGCTCAAAGATACTTCTCCGATATTCATTGATAATTGATCAACATTTAGTTAACGATTAACAATCTCTATGATCTGTATTGATAGCCAGCCCTAAAATTCATATAGGAAACAGGAAGTGCCTCCAGTCTAAGTGAATACAAGATCATGACGTATCAAAAAGACATATGAAATACCGTATTCGACCCAATAAGCGCCCAGGGCGCTTAAAATAAAGACAGAAGGGGGTGGGCGCTTATTGGGACCAATTCAGAGTCAAATTGGCGTAAATTCATCAGTAAGCCTTAAGTCACAAATATCTAAAATAAACAGAATACAGTCATGCTCCACTTATACGGACTTCAAATATCCGGAAACCTCGGTTCCCGGATGATTTTAATTTAAAACAAAATTATTACTATATAAAATTCCTGAACTCTGTGTGTGTGTGTGTGTGTGTGTGTGTGTGTGTGTGTGTGTGTGTGTGTGTGTGTGTGTGTGTGTGTGTGTGTGTATGTGTGTGTGTGTGTGTGTGTGTGTGTGTGTGTGTGTGTGTGTGTGTGTGCTTATTGGGACATGGGCGCTTATTGGGTCGAATACGGTAAGATGATATATCAATGCTACTTCATCATAACTAATAGTCCAGAGTTTTACATAGTTCACTAACATCAGCAATGAAAAACAGACTGGCTAGGATGAGAATCCTTAACTTGTAATGATTAAATCTGCTTTTAGAAATATTCCAGTTGTATCACAGTGTGTCAGCGTAATGTGGAGAAATGCCCAAGGTGATGCAGGCTTCTAACATTTACCACTTTGGTGAAAACCACGAGCTTGGGTATGGTGCTGACAAACCTAGAAACACAATCGTGGCGAAGCAGGATTCGAACCCACAATCGACAGAAAGAGAAGTTAGATGAACTGCAGGAGTCATCTAAGTAGCAACACATCGGCCAGATCAGGGCAGCCTGGCATATTGGGATTTAACTGATTACTGACGAAGACATCTGAAACAATTACTATGATGCCAGTGATGACTGACACTGACAATGAGAACATTTTGGCCACCACATCCCCATTACACTTACCTGTTATGCATTGAAGCAATAAAGATGCCCAAACACATGTGTAGTGTTATAAAGTATAGATTTGCATAGATTGAACATCGAAAGGAAACAGTGTGGAACGGTAAATCATTATTAAATCTACCCAGTATGCAAATATATATATACAGTATATTTCCATTGTATTATGGGCCGGTGGCCTGAAGTACCGAATAAATTTGTCTGTCTGTCTGATTTGCCCTGAACTACACACGTCCTTGTGCTGTGATGTTTTAATAGTCCAGGGAAAACTATACTTTACTATATTGATTGTTTGTTGTTAAACGCCGCACTCAGCACTATTCCAGCTATATGACGGCGGTCTGTAAATAATCGAGTCTGGACCAGAAAATCCAGTGATTAATATCATGAGCATTGATCCACGCAATCGGGATCAATGACATGCATCAACCAAGTCAGCGAGCCTGACCACCCGATCCCGTTAGTCGCCTTTTATGACAAGCATAGTCGCTTTTTACTGCAAGCATGGGTTGCCTGAAGACCTATTCTACCCCGGATCTTCACGGGTCTCTTGACATGGGTCAGAGCCAACTGTATTACTGTTCTTAGATGCCAAATTTAAAACCAACCTTGTGTATTATTGGAGATGTGATTAAAATATAATCTGGAAATTGAAATATCCTCAAACTGGAATAACTGACAGGTTGTTTTTTAAATGTTAATTGCCTCCACCTTTAGCTAAGAGAAAACATTATTTAAAATAAAACACAAAAATGTGTAGTTTAGCAGTAAATATGTCATATTTTTTATTTCTGTACTGTGTGACATTAGCTATAGTCCCTGGCAGTAATAAGCTGGGTTTGTATTAATGTTTCCATGGTTTCTGTTTGGTTCATGTGACACTTAACATACCACAATGTATTGTGGGGACAGGCAAACACATTGAAACATAGCCAAAGTTTTGCGTTGCTGGTTTTGGTGAGTTTGGGTGTTTTCCGTCACAAAGTTGTAACTAATGTTCCCACCCCTAATGTTAGAAGACTGCAGTAACTGCATGCCATGAGTGCCTACCGAGTTGGTTGAACTATACCTACTGAGCATACAGGCCTGAATTGGGGCAAGGTGACTTGATGTAAAATGGAGTAGACGTGGGACAAATATGGCGGAGTGCAGAATGTTGCTGAAAGTTGTATGCAGAGCAACAAATGTGTGACTGTGTAAAGTTTCAAGGATTGCTCATTCCTGAGGCCAGTGACAGACATAATTCACTGGACACTACTTCTTGCCTGGGACAGCTTTGTCATGTTTGTGGCTGCTATGGCACCGACACAGTGGTTTGTGTATGTTTAGGGTAACACCGCAGCATGGGAGTTGGCGGAAGTTTCACTTCATAAAAGTTGATATTCTTTCTTTTGGGAGGTGAATCACAAACCTGAATAATTTGTTTTTAAATTCCAAGATCAAAGATGGGATATTTTAGAGCAAAACATTCAGGTAATAGAACACTGTCATTGTTGTGTTATTAATATTTTATAGCCAACCTAACCCAGAAATACCACAGAATCTGCATACGCTGGTTGTTTAACAGTTTCATTCAGCATTTTAAATCTGTTATTATTCACATGTTTTACACCAACATACCTTGTAATGTATCGTATGTATCGTGATAAAGGGGCAGTAAATCGATGTACTGTATCATAGACCTCATATCAGGATACAATACTGTATTGCCCTATCCTTAAACCACCATAATACATGTCACATTAAATTAATGCTTCACTTTATAATCTTTACAAGACCAACTGTGTTTGTGAGGATATTCAGGAAAGTTAAGAGGGATGTTGATAATGACAGGAATTATCTTACCTTGTCAATGCCTTCTAAGATTTCAACAGTGGTCTTCTTTTTCTGCAAGAAAATAACATGACATCATTATCAGTAAAAAAACAAAAGGCTGTAATACAAGAGCAATGTTGAGCTTTCCATTTTTTGGGGTGTCAAATCAAATCATATAGAGACCAGTGTAATTTTGTAAAATTAAGTATTTCGGTTGGTAGGTGTGATCATGCTTTAATGAATTTAACATTGCAAAACAGCAAAATGACACAAGGTGATTAATTTTGACGATTGATCAAATCCAATGATCAAATCATAATTTTACAAAAAAATGCCCTAGCTGCGATATAGTAGCTATGCACGACCCCATTTTTACTTTCTGACGCACAAAGCTCGCTATTACATACACAGCGATATATGGTAGTTACAATTCATAACCTTCTCTGATTCATGCCTCTTATAACATTCCACTTAAAATGCTTATGTAGACAAGGACTAAATTGTGGACATTTTTATACCCCTTGTTTCCATGTATGTTATATGTGACGCTCAAACAAACAATTCATGTACTCATTAACTGAGATCCATGACAGTTGTAGATAGTGCTCAGATAGCTGGGGGCATGTGGCCCTGTTGAGTGAAGACATGATGTCGGCCTACAAGTTTACAAGAATGGAGAAAAACTATTAACAAATGTTAAAATCATTTACCGAGAACCATTTGTTAAAAATATATTAATAATTTCTGAAGAGGTACTGATGCTAACATGCAAAGTGTGCAGGATCAACCATCTAAAGATGACTGAAAAGGAAAGTGTTTGAAATATCTTTGATGCAATGTAAAATGAAATTAAATAGAACAAAATAAACTGATAATGTTGTCAATCGAAAATTTTACTCATAACGAGAACATGTTAAAAACAACAGCTTAATATCTCAATACATGCTTGACAAAGAGCCATGTTTCACTTCCATACCTTTAAACTTTTATCAAAATATTGAAATGGGTGCTTTGGACAGTGTTTTTGCGCAACGAACGATGGAGAAGTGAGTCATAACCTTGTGGATCGCATCTAGTCACCTGATGGTGTGAACTTACTCTAAATTTCCCAATTATCATGCCCATCTTGACCAATCAAAGGGCTAATAGACAAATCAGATTGTTGGTAGCGGAGGATTTGTCGCTCACGCTGTCACGTCGACTTGTTTTCAACTTTCGAGGACTTCCGTGGATCACCCGACGCCTGGCGGTAAATGACAGTCATTTAGAGTTGTTTCCCTTTGACCAAACCATGTCGCCCATTTCACTGTCTGTATGGTTGGGTCAGTCATTGACACTTAATATATATTTTGCATCCATGGTTCAGTTAAATCGGTAAATTCAGCGTCCACAAATTAACACAAGAGAACTGATTTATGTGTACCAATCATAGTCCGCACTTTATTACTTCTTTTCATCGTGCTGTTCTTTTCACTTTATTAAATACAGTGATTTTTTTAAAGGACCATGTGAGTTGGGGTGTCATTGTTAATGTGTTGGTTCGTCACGCCGAAGACCTGGGTTCGATTCCCAGATGGGTAAAAGGCGGCTGAACAATTTTATTGAATTGTGTCTTCATTAAACTGTTGCAGTTTGAAGAACACAAACAATAATAACAGGTTATGATTTTATTTTTTTTCATTATGAAATGTTGTTGAGCCATCGTATAACAGGTGGTCTAGTCAATAGAGCGTCCGCCCGGAGAGCGGAAGGTCGGTGGTTCGATCCCCGGCCGCGTCTACGAAAAGACGTTAAAAGAAGGTATTTATTGTTACCCTGCCTGGCGCTTGGCATGGGTCGGCCCTGAGTTGGGTTGGCATTTCAAACTGCAGCATGGTATCTCAGTGGACTTACACTATAAAACCGGCATTTGTCCGGACTATCACACGCACACACACACACACCACACCAACCCACATAGACACACACACGCACGCACGCACGCACGCACGCATGCACGCAGAGAGAGAGAGAGAGAGAGAGAGAGAGAGAGAGAGAGAGGGGTTTATTATAGTGTCACATGTTATATACACTACATACAAAAACACGTACACAAACAATAAAATATAACATCCGACCAGGTATGGCCTTCGAGACACTAGATATAAAAGCAAATGTATAACGTCATGATCTGGTTAAGGTAAATTAAGACATATACTAACACAATGTTTAAAGTTAAGATTGGGCTATGGACACGCACGCACACACGCACACACGCACACACACACACACACACACACACACACACACACTCGCCAAAATACTTATAAAGTCACGTACACATTCATACACAAACACGTAGACACTCACACACCCACACAAGCACCCCCCACACACACACACACGCACGCACACGCACACACACACCATACGTACATTATGCACCCCCCCCCCCCCACACACACACACACACACAAACGCATACACACACCGAACGTACATTATACGCCCCCCCCCCCCCCCCCCCACACGCCCCCCCCCACACACACACACACCATACGTACATTATACGCCACACACACGCACGCACGCACGCACACACACACACCATACGCACATTATACGCCCCCCCCCCCCACAAGCCCCCCCCCCCCCCCCCCCACACACACACACACACACACCATACGTACATTATACGCCACACACACGCACGCACGCACACACACACAACATACGCACATTATACGCCCCCCCCCCCCCCCCCCCCACACACACACACACGCACGCACGCACGCACGCACGCACACACACCATACGTACATTATACGCCACACGCACGCACGCACACGCACACACCATACGTACATTATACGACCCCCCAGCCCCCCCCCCCCCCCCCCCCCCCCCCCCCCCGCCACACACACACACACACACAACACAGAGGTGCATTAATCCTCACCGACACTCAACATAAACATTACAAGTATCATTTTAATCACAAGCAGAAATACTTCTATTTGCAAGCATAATAACATACATGTAGAAAAGCGCACACAGAATTAAATGAGTGTCAAGCGTCTTTGGAACATTTGATCAATTAACTTTCAAAGAGTATAACACCCATGTTCGCATCTGAGTAATGAAATACATTTCTCGGTTGAAGATAAGTTTAAGAACACACACAATCGTCGTTTCACCTTACCTCACCTCGTACAACAGAAAAGTGCGGTCCTTGAAAAGGTTCGCGTATGGTGTAGCAGAGTAAATCTGAATAAAACTAAGATTATTGTATTTACAACTGGTTGTCCCTTATGGTCATACGGAAAGTGGTTTTATGATGGTAAATTTTGTAAATATAGTTTAAAGGTTGGTAGATCAACTTGTAATGATAATGTCCTGGGGCATTGTGGAAGAGTGCCTTTATAATTTGCATATATGGCAAAGGCCATTGCGTATTGGTGCAGATTTTACACTTAGCAACATAATAGGTTACCAACACAATGTTTTATATCATGTTAAAAACTTTGGATGATGCAGGCCGCAATACCCTTGTCGTTTTGTCTGGATAAGTCAGAAAGTAGTACACCAAACAGCCATCATTGCACATTTTAAGCAAACAATTACATGATAATGTCTTTCAGTCATGGCAAGCACCCTTACACGCAAATCATAAGTCTGTTTTACAATAATCAGTTTAAATTCGTTCTAAATATTAAAACGCCACGCTATGACTGTTAAAAGCGGCTTTGAACCCAACTCACTCACTCACTCTAAATATTGAAAAGAAGACCTCCCTCAACATTTGAAGCATGTGGTTGTTGAAGATGAATTACACATCTTCTGCGTATGTGACTCCTACTCTGAATTTAGAACAAGTTTATTGTAAACTATTGATAATTTTATTTCAATCCTGGGGGTACGGGTGGCCCAGTCGACTAAGGCGCTGCGATTCGCTTTGCAGAGTTGCGTCCCTTGGACACGCCAGAAGCCTATGATTGTGGGTTCGAATCCTGGTTTGCCCCGATTATGTTTCTAGGTTTGTCAGCACCATACCCGTGCTCGTGGGTTTCACCAAAGTGGTAAACGTCTGAGACCTGCAACACTTCGGGCTTTCCTCCTACATTAAACTGACACGCCGTGATATAACTGGAATACTGTTAAAAGCGGCGTAAAACCCAACTCACGCACTCACTCACTCATTATTTCTATCATGCTCACTACGATCACTGACATTATCAGAAATGTCAATTTCTAAAACAGGGAAAAAACGCCGAATTTCAACATCTACCATTAAAATTTAAACCGGCTCTCTGCAGCCCGTCTGAAAGGAAGACATCCTGTGAAGGATGTGACCGCAAAAGTTTAGCATAGGCGGTAAAGAATGGGGATGGCTAGGCAACACCAGGGGCGGGCCGCGCGTTAAGTGCCTTGCACCATGTTTACTTACAATTAAATATTTTGCCTCCGATGCACAGATGGCAGGAAACGTTGTTGACGACGTAGCTGCGAGCGGTATGCCAGAGCAACAACTCTTGACCATGGTCGGTATGGGGGCGGTAGTGTCATGGTGTGGGGCGGAATCACATGGCCGGCGAACTCATTTGGTTAATGTCAAAGGACATTTGACTGGCGAGCAATATGCTGACCAAATTTTGTGTCCAGTTGTTGTTCTCTTCACCAGAATTATCGGCAGACCACGTCGTGCCCAGGTCGTCACCGATTATCTCCGACGCTAAGGCATACGGACATTGGACTGACCCCAACATGATTGACACACATCAGCTATTGGTCTCCACGCCCGAAATATATTTTACAGATATTTATCCTAATTACACCTTCACTATCATTTCATCAGTTCTCTTATTTTTTGTCGGAAGCATATATACTCTCCAAAACATTAAACGCATTGCCGATTGCATTACAATGAATATTGTTTTTTCACCAAAATGGCTTCAATGTTTTTGAAATACTCCATGGATCATCTACATATACGGATGTGAGTATTTGGTACTGGAAATTGTGCCATTTGGTTTGATGTTTCCACTTTGGCTGCGTTGTTCACAACGTTCTAAAACATGTCGCCCAAACGCGACCTTAAATGTTTCACACGTGCAAATCAGGGAAAACGTACAGGCTCTACTTGGCTAAATAAGTAAACATCTGTCTACAAATTTGTTATGTGGTTTTGCAATTTTGAACGAACTTTACATTGCCACGACTTGGCTCTGCTACACGCAATATCGCCACTGGCCGACATCAAGCTGGAGAGCCTCAGACATCAGTTTCCGTCGTTGAAATGTCAACCAGATTACAATTTCACGTCTCGTTGTACGATTCCAAAATTCGGGGTCAACCAATGACCGTCCACGTTCCGGCCGACGACGAGTCACCACACCCGCCAAAGATCATTACATCCGGGTGCTGCATTTACGTGATCGGACTGTCACGGCCGAAACCACGGCTGCCAACGTACCAGGACTATTCAGCTATAGAAAATGAAATTCATTTTACTTTTTTATGTCCTTATTATTGCCATCTAGGAAACTAGTTTATACCAGAACGCTCTCTGTCAAATTAAACTGTACCTGCTTTTATTTCTCTTCTTTCTTCAAAAAATGATGCTGTCATATTAAAACTGGCTATATATGTTAAAAATGCAATTTCCCTCAGTTTAGTAGCTCAAGATCTTCTCAATGTTTTTTAATCAGTATGCATATAAGTGACAGCTTAAGTACAATGTCACGAAAAGCGCTGTTCTAATATTTGATGTGCAGCGTAAATTTACCTGCTCTCAATCACTGTACTTGGGCAGTATGTGTGTTCCACTTCAGCAATCTATAATATATGCAGGTGTCAGGATTAGCTCTGATAAGTCTTCCTTAGAACGAACACAATTAGCTTTTGAAAAGTTTAAAATGTTAATCAATAGTAATAACGATACTGGACTAAAGTTTGGAGGCATGAATCCAATCCCAGCAAAAAGGATCTGGGAACGAGTGATACTCCCATGCGGGCTCTATGGATGTAATGTCTGGGGACTATTAACCCTCAAAGAATACGATATGCTGGAAGTTATTCAACGTTATTTCAGTAGAAATATACAGGGCCTTCCAAAATGTACATCAGGTACTGTTGCTGTGGACAACATGGGCTTGATATCTCTCCAATCCTTTATTAACAAACAGTCACTGTTACTACTTGGAAAACTATGCCGGTCCAGTTACATCTATGTTTTTAAAAAGGTATTCATTACTCGCCTTGGGCAGTT